AAAGAAAAACATGTTTTCCTTAAAATTGGTTCCATGATTTATTATTCATATGGCTAACTTATTTAGACTGTTTTGTGAAAGCAAGTGTATTGAAATGCTTGTCTAAATAATATATATGCATATTATTTATCCCATATGATTTAACATTTACTATCTGTACATCAGAAATGTATGCAACCTCATTTGTTTCTGCTCCTCCAAGCTTAAACTCACCATTCATTTTGCTATGAAATAAGAGACCCAACAGGAGACAGGAGGAGGCTGTGGGGCACACAGCAAAGATAGAGCTAATACAACCAGGTGGGTATTTTTGCATCACAGTGTGAGAAGAGTTGCTTCATGCAAGTGTTGTGTAGACATAGCTTCATCTACATTGCTTTCAAATAATTGGAAGGAAATAAAATCCAGTCCTGAGACTTTTCCTATGAACCACATGGCCTGACCCACATTGTTTGCAAGAATGTATCTTTTATGACACATGTGAATAGGCTCCCCATATCTAAAAAGCAGCCTCTGTGCTCCATCAAAGCTATGATCTGTCCTCCAGATGGCTAGTCTGTTGGGAGTAGAGGCAAACTTCCAGCTTGTCTGGTCTTCTTACCATAGTGATTGGCTGGATGGAAGTTGGAGAGTATGTGGGCCAGGGTGGATTTGATGTCTGGACTTTGGGTAGTGTGTAGGTGCTTCAGCCAGTCTGCCACAGGTCAGAGCATGGTGCATACATGCTTGGGTATCAGTCACTACTAATGCCCAGTAGGCATATAGGACTGGCCTCATTTTTCTGTGCAGAGAGTAAGGCCTCCGGTAGAGAGGGGATATGGCTTCCCTCACAGACTCAGGGCTTTAGCATTTTCAGCAGAAGTGATCAGCAGTTAGAACTGAGCATCCAGGGTCAAGGAAACTTCTCCAACTGGAACTCACCATCACAGTGTACTTTCCTGAGATTTCCCAACAGAAATCAGAACAATTTTGTCATGTCAGCCACTAACTTGTGCCCCACTTCTCTCTCTAGGTGGACCTTTCCTACATCTTTCAGCATCCTCTCTTACTCTCGTCTCCTTCCAAGTGGAGTTACCCTGTGCTTTTCTCCACCATCTGTGCCATCCCATTCCAAACTGGCCTGCCCTCCTGGTGGCATTTTATGCTCCAGTTCTTTGTTAGCACTTTTAAAAATTGAAGTTGACCTAGATTCTATTTCCACAAGAGCCAATTTGCCAACAATCTATTTGAGCTGTTTGGATGTCTACAAAGCACAGAGTTTTAAATTTTCTTATCTTAGGTTTGGCATTTAACATCTTTAACCAATGGTCCAGTCTCATGTAGACATTTAGGTATTGTATCTGACCAGGGGTAAATATTTGTGAGGCAGGTAGGCCTTTTGTTGCCCCAAGCAATGTAAATACTACCTAGTGGGTAGCATAGAGGACTGGCTCTGTTTGCTGCAGGCCCTTTGAAACCTCTTTGGGTTGTAGAACATTCTTTCCATTTTTTTTGATAAAATGTCTAGAATTTCTCATGTCATAAATTCACTGGAGTAAGATGTATAATGCTTTTCCTCCTAATAGTCCTGAATGAAATTTTAGAAATGTGGCTTTGAGGTGCAACTTGGTGACATCAACTTGTTGTATATCTTAAAGGTAATATAATTCAAGCAAACAGTTTTTCTGTCCAAGGATAATATACACCACAGTTTGGATCTTGAATGTTCCCCCAAAGATTCAAATGTTAAAGGCTTGGTCCCAGAGTAGTACAATATGGAGGTGGTAAAACATTTAACTGGTGGGGATTGGTGATTGGAGATATGCCCCTCAAGGGGGATTGTGGGACGTGAGTCCCTACTTCTTCCTCTTTTGTTGGCCATGAGGTGAGTGGGTTTGTTCTACTATATGGTCCCACCATAAATTCTGTTTTGCCACAGGCCCAAATCACAGGGCCAACTGATAATGTACTGGAACCTCCAAAACGGTGAGCCAAAATAAACTTTTTCTTTTCATAAACTGATTATCTCAGGCATTTTATTATAGTGACAGAAAGCTAACAGAATAATATGTATTCTCATTACTAAAAAAGATGGCTTATCTTCCAAGTTGATTTCACATGGCTTTTAGTTATTGTGACTTTCGTTGTCTATGAAGTCATTTTTCCACTCTAAGGGAAGGAGGGACATGAGCTACTATCAAGAACTGAATAGGAGATGGCCAGTTCTTTGTTCCCTTCTGAGCCTTGTTGGGTGACTGAACTGTATGAGAGTATCTGAATTGTTTGGGTTTCCCATGATCACCCTTTTAGCATCAATAAGGACATTCTAAAAAAATAAAACAAAATGAAACACACAATGACAGCAGATATTCACTATTCCTTTAGGAGTCTTTTGGATAGGATTTTATGTTCCATTTGACCTTTTGTATGAGACACAGAAATTCCCGAACATAAAAATGTAGTGAACAGCTCAAGCTGCTTGTCAAATTGCAGAATGGAAACCTCAGCTTACTACAAATTGGTCTAATTAAGCCTTATTAAAATTGGTACCCCAGGGCGAATTTTTATCCCTTGCACAAAGGATGACATTGCAGATTTCCACATACAATGCAGGCAGATCTAATGCTTTTATGGGTGAATTTTCCAAATGGGGATAACAAAAGGAATGGGGACAGCATCCCTGAAGCACATGGGGATACGTAACTGCTCAGTAATTGCTATTTTCATTTAAGCAAATTAAATGGAAATGAAAACAAAAGCCATGTCCTATCTCTGCAGTGTCTTGGAAATCCAGGCTCAGTCTGGGGGCACGGCCAGGGCTGTCAGTGGAGCCTCAAGGCTCCCTGGGGACAAAGCTGCTCATCCTCTATGCCTTTCCTTCTCCAACTGGCTCCCATCCCACTTTTCTTTCTTCTTCCTTGAGACCTCATGGGGGATCTTAATGAAGGGCCCCGCTGACCTACATCAAGCCTCCCTGCTAATGTGACTGCTCCTCTATTCATCACAAGACAGGAAAGCCTCCTGTTTGCTTCTTCCACTGTTCATTGCCTCCTCTTCAGTCCCTTCTGAAGGCCAAGAAGAAATCAACCATCAAGGGAAAGAGGGGCACGCATGGATATGTGTTATGGGAAGGTGGTGTGCCTGCCACGCCCCAGCTCATTGACCTTTGAAGACCAGTGGATCTAAAAGGCAACTCAAATTTTCATATACTCAACCTAACTCTTTGATATTTTGGGAGTTTTGAGTTTATTTGGAAAGGAAACCCAGGGAACCATAGCTATTGGGAAGAAGAAAATGGAAAGAGGCTCATCCAATTCAAGGAAGCATAATTAAGCTATAGGCACCTAGGGGCTCAGTTCCTCCAGTGCATACTCTTTAAATCTCTGGATTATCCATACGCTCCAAACCCTTCTCTGTCAAACTTGCCCCCGAGGCTGACTTCCTGGATCTTCCAGGCTTGTGCAAGAATCTGAATGAATGAATGGGCAAGAGTCCCAGAGAGGGACTGAGAAGTTCTCAGGTATGAGGCAAGGGTGCAGCTGAGGCCAAGGTGCTGCCAGGCTGCACCCACGGTAACTTGTTGCCACAGTAACTGTTGGAAGTGTTGGTGGATAGGATGTGAGAGGGTGCAATTTCTGAGAGTCATCGTTGACTCCGCACTTTGTCTTCACCTCATTTTTCACTCATGAGGAACTTTTGTCAACCCTACTTTTAAAATACATCCAGAATCTGGCCCTCTCTTGCCATCCCTACAGTTACCACCCTGACCCAAACTGTCAACATTTGGATTATAATACCTGGTATTATAATGGTACTCCGACTTCCATAGGCACTTTTTCCCCATCTCCCACTACATGCATCACACCCACAGCAGGAAGCTGGTGTTTAAAAACCCATGCCATAGTATATGTCTTTCCCCTTCTCAAAATCCAATTGCCATCCAGAATAAAACCCCCAGTCCTTTCCAAAAATCTACAAATGCTTGCATGTTTTGGTCTCTTCCTCCCTTTCTGCTATGATTGAGTATTTGTGTTCACTCTAAAATGCATATTAAAACCTAAGGCCATATGGGACAATATTAAAAGGTAGGGCCTTTAGGTTGTGATTAGGCAGAGCCCCCACAATGCATTAGCACCTTCTGAAAGGGCTTAAGGGGATGAGTTTTCCTCCTTTGTCCCTCCCCCTGCCTGAAGGTGCATAGTCATTCCTTCCTTAAAGGAAGCAGCCTTTAATATACCATGTTGAAAGCAAAGACCAAACTGTCACCTGTCACCAAATCTGCTAATGCCTTGATCTTGGACTTTCTAGTTTCCAGAACTGTAAGCAATAGATTTCTGTTCTCTCTCAATTGCCCAATCTTGGGTGTTTTGTCACAGCAGCATAAGTGGACTTTATGAAGTCATCATGTGCTTCTCTACCCTTCTTCTACTCTACCTCAGTCATATGGCTTCTTCGCTGGGGTGCCAAGCATATTCCTATTTCAGGGCCTTTGAGCTTGTGATTCCTTTTTCTAGAATGTTCTTCCTTCAGGTATTTATGCGGTTCAATCTCTCACCTCATGCTAGACACATTTCTAGTACCCAGAGAGGCATCTGGCACACAGTAGACAAAAACTCTCTACTCAGTGGGGATCCTCTGGAAGGGAGGGTGTTATACCAATTTAATCAGACACGTGTGTGTGTGTGTGTGTGTGTGTGTGTGTATGTGTGTGTGTGTATACACAAACATCAATGGAAAGGCAGAAGGGTACAGAACTTTGCAAGTGTCCTGTAGGATCCTGTCCTTTTGGTTTGTGTTGTAGTGCTAGGGCCAAGATGACAGCATGACCAAGAAGAAGATGCCAGTCATGGCTACCTCAACTCTGGGGTATTCTTGCCAAAACACTAACACCACACAGAAAATTTGGAGAATATGTTCATTTTCCTCTTCTCCTCCAAGAATATAACTATTTAGAACTATGATGTCCATGAACAATGCTCCAATCATCAGCCTTCTCTTAGCATAAATATGTAGTTTCCATTTGGGGGGTAACACACATGCATTTCTGTAACTCTAATAAATTTTAATCTAATAGAAGATAAATATACAATTCAGTGCAGACTTTAGATTTCTAGCTTTTGCATAAAGGCATAAAGGCATCAGGACAAGAAGGAAGAGAGGCAAGAAGATGTTGGGTTTAGGAAGTGATGATGGAGAAATACGAGGACCTGGCTAGGGAAACTGGTACCATGTGAACCAAGACTTAGGTCTTCTTTGGGGATGGGAAAACACTGTCTGTTGGTCGAATTTAACTCCTTACCAGTTTTTGTAAATAAAAACACAGTTATGCTCATTCCTGGCAAGTTGTATAGAGCTGCTGTTGAAGGAAAAGTGTGATTGTTTGGATGTCCAGTTGAAGTCCAGGTCCTTGGTGTCCTGGAATTGAGAGGAGACACAGAAGTAACAGATAAAGTACAGATTTCCTAAAGATGGAGACAGCATCCCATTAGGTAGAGTGGAAAGAGGCTCAAGGCCCTAATATCTGGAAATTAGGGTCTTGCATCCTAAACTATGGGGTGCTCTCTTCCCTCTGTGGACCTGATTGAAGCTCTTACCCCATTGGTTATCTTATGATACCTGATTAGAATATTTTCCAATTCCCCTCCCCTCTTTGGTTACTTTAGAAGATCTAATTAGAATACTGCCCACTTGACCTCCATTTTAAAATTTGAACCTGTGAAAGGAGTTATCATAGTGGTAAGTCCTCAGTGGTGGGAATTGTCATGGTGATAAATCTTCAGTGGGAGAGTTGTCATGGTATTGGGGTTTATTGTAAACAGGGACAGGATTTGTCTCCTCATCCAGTGGCTTCTTTCTAATACCCTGTCTCCACTATCGAGGTGTCCCTGTGAAGACAGAATTAGACAGGCAGTCAGTATAGATAGGTAAATCGAGTCAGGTTGGATCAAGGAGGCCAGTTTTGATCGAGTCCCACAGTTGGAGACTGTCCCCTTAGGGACTGAAATATTCAGAGCCCTTCCTTCCCACTCTTATCAAGAACCTGCCCTGCTCCAACCTGTTGCTGAGTTAACCTGTCCCAGGAATTGCCCCTTCCTACAGGGGCTGTAAAGTTGTTGATTAAAGTGTCCTGGGCTACTCCATCCTGCCCTTTCCCCTTCAGCCCACCTGGTTCCCACCTTTTGGCCATCCCACCAAGCGTTCCTGGGCCTAGTCACAGATGCAGGAAGGAGAAAGATAAGGGGAAGAGGGAAGGAGAACAAAGGAAGCCTAGGACATATAAAAAGGGCAGAACATTTCGCTTCTGGGAATACCAGGATACCAGCTATGGCCCCTTCTCCCTCCGGAGAAAAGTTCATGTTACCCCTTTTTGAATAAACCCTGCTTTATATGCTTGCCTCAGAATGCTTCTCTAATGTTCAAACTTCAATATGTGAGGAAGCAGAACTCGTCATTGTGACAGAGATAATATGGTCCACCAAGCCTAAAATATTTACTATCTGAACATCTACAGATAAAATTTAAAGATCTCTGGAATCGTAGAAAAATCCACACACTGGGAACCTGATTGGCCCAGGTTCTGATTCGTGCTCTGTAAATTTGATGCTTATGCTAGCAACTGTCTTAACCCTCAATGAGCCTCAGGTTTTTAGTCTTTTCTATGGAACAGAGTTTGGGTTACATTAATTTACATTACTTTAAAAATGCCTAACCTAAAGAAATTCTCAATACAAATTTTTTGGACAATTGCTGAAAGAATACTTTCCAATGCCATGGGTGTGTACTCTGCGTTCCATCAAACTGCATAGGTTGTTGGGACTGTTGTAGGACTAATGAGGCAAGGCACCCAAGATAGCAGGAAACAGTTTTATTTGGCTGCAGCCAGATTCAGAAGCGCATAGCTATTGCTGTAATCAATTAACCCCTGAACCCCAAGTTCAGGTTGTTTCAGAGTTTTATACCCAGTATGTAAGGGGAGGGGCTCAGAAGTTCACAGTCTGCAGAAGTTCACATAAAATCACTGTTCTGGGCAAGTTAATTCTTCAAGGACAACACCTGAGGAGAGGAGAGCTTCTTTTCCCCATTTTTCCTCTCCCTGCCAGCTGTTATCAGGGAGCCCAGTTGGTAACTTATCTTAAAAATGTAGACATCTCTGTGAAGGCCGGAGGCCTTGTTTGCACATTTATACAAAGTACTATACTGGCTATGTTTTTGAAAAACTAGTAAGGGGGTGCCCAGCAGCTGGAGTCCTGGTATCTTCCCGGCCAGTAGCAAGTAAAACAGGGCGACAAGAAAATAGGAAGTTTATCTACATGGAACTCTTTTGTAGAGACTTTTTTGCTGACAGTCCTAAAATCAGCCATGGTGAAGATTTCTGGAGAAGCCCAGTTAAGACTTTTCTGTGGAGAAAGGGGGTGCCACTTCAGGACAAATAGATGAAACAACAAGTGGGAAGTCCTGGATTCGTGAGATTCTCTCCCTGTGATCATAGAAGATAAAGTACAGAGGAGACAGTGACTCCTCAGATGGCACTTCCCTAATCTGGGAAATTCAAGCAGAGCCTAGAACTGCCCTTAGGATGTTTCCCAAGCTAGAAAGAGGCAGGGATGGGGGACTTTAAATGAGTTCAAATCACACAGAGAGCAAGGATAAAAATAAAAGCAGGCAGGAGGGGTCATCTGGAGCCCATTTTCCATCCCTGGAAGAGACCCAAGGGACTGTCTCTTAAGATATTTTTGTTCCTATTTAGTCTTGCCCATCCTTTTCCAATATCTACAACAGAGACGATTCTTTGTTTTCATTTGGTTTTGGTTTTCTTTCCCTAATCACAGCACCTCTACCTACTCCTGGTAGTATCAAGGAACTCTTGCAACTGACGCTGAGAGCACAGGTTTTGCAAAGAAAACTGGCTTTATATTCCAAGTTCCCTTTAATGTGTAGTGTGACCTTGAGAAAGTTGCTTAATCTTTCCAAACCCTTGTTTCATGGACTGTAAAATGAAGACAATCCATCCTCATTAAATCATTGTGAGAATTTTAATGAGATTGGAAACCTCTTTTCACTACCCTCTCCCCTGCCCTTTAAAAATGGTTGAACCACTTACAATTTAGATGCTTTAAAGTCTGAAGCAACTTCTATTGTCATTTCTAAGAGATGAATTGTGGCAGGATGGGTGCCTTTTTTTTTAAACTTTGCTGACTTGTGTGTTGTTGAATACACACACACACACACACACACACACACACACATATATATATATATATATAAAATATAATTTTTTAATGAAGGAGTTTATTACTTCTTTTAGAAGGTGCTTCCACAAGTCTGGGGATGTTTAAAACAAACAAACAAAAAAACCATATTTAAATTTAAATGTAGACAAAGATCACAGAAGGACAAAAACCCTCATGTAAACTCAGGTGAAAGACTACATCAAATTAGGGAATGGCTTGACAGGAATCCCTTCACGTTCTGTGTTTTCTCTCCCTTGCATTTTCTCTGGAAGGTGTGTGTAAGGAGGATCACAGACAGGTTAAAAGTCTCCACTGGAGTAAATTGAAAATCCTAGATAAAGGAATGGATGGCTTTTATTTGCCAGAGAACATTTGAAACTCAAAAGCTCTGGACACAGGACTGAGATCTGGAAACCTCTGATAGGATATTATCATTCTTGGGGCCATGCAATGTGAATTGCTCATTTGCTGGTGACCTTATCCTTTCTAGATACGCAAAATGTGGGTTAGAGAGGTGGAGTAACATCCCCAAATCCATGCAGCTAGTAGCTGGCAAAGCCAGGAATTAAAAATCTATTTGACTCAGATGATTTATATGACGAGTATGAAGTCCCAACAGTGTGACCCACAAGGAAGGAGATATTCTCCTGAGTTCAAGCCTTTTGCTTATTAACTGGGGTGGGGCAGGTGAAGAAGGACAGAGCCTCCAGGCACCATTGTCGCAGAGCCTGAACACATTCAAGAAACTGTACAAGAGGATGCCAAAGAAGAAATAGGAAGTGCTGGGCTATGGGGTTTAGGAATTCGGTGACTGCCCAGGGAGGGGAGAAATGATCCATAAAAGCCTCAGAGGCACACTCTACCTTCTTGATTGCCCTTTCTAGTTAGAGAGGAAAGAGCCAATACCTTACAGTGGAATAGCACTCCTCCTGAAGCCCTCTGGGTCATTTTCCAGCTGCAGACCCAGGATGTGGAGTCAGCAGGGTGTAGTGCTACATGGAACTGAGAGAATACTGTAAGAGAGCAGTCAGGGAATTGTGCAGCCCAGAAGTCCTTGCTGGAGTGGGGCTGGGGTTTAGTTATTGTGTTCTCACAAGAAAGGCCTGGAATGTGGATGCCTGCCATGCTAGAAAGCATTCTGTATCTTTGAGTTTACTACAAATAGGCCTGGTTATGTTGGGAAGGACCTTTGATGCTCTTACTAAAACCTTTTTGCTACTTCTATTTGTCTTTCCCACTTGACCCAGAGTCACCCAAATCAAAGACAGCTAGTAAGCACAGCTACTGTCTGAGAGGGGAGTCAGGTCAAGTCCAAGTTGGGAGAAGGAGAGGGAAGGAGAGCTTTGAGAGCTTTGAATTGAATGAGTAAATAGAGTATTAAGATAGATTGGAAGGGATGTTTTAATAAAACTTAAACCTCCTCAGGTACTTGCTCAATATGATGGCAAATAGGGAGCTAAAGGAAAACCACAGAGCTTGTTTGAAGGCAGTGGTGGAAGAATGTAAATCTGTTCTCTTACGTTAGCCTAGGAAGGCCAACCCATTTAACAAACTCATGAAATAATTGCATTTTCTTATTTTTCTTCTACTATTCTTAAGGTAAAAGATTTTATTTTGGAATAATTACAGATTCAAAGCAGACTCAAGGAAATTTTCAAACATATTATGAGAGAGGTCCTGTGTATCTTTTACCTAGCTTCCTTTGATGGTTATATTTTATACAACTAGTATAAATTCAAAACCAAGAAATTGAAAGTATGTATTTTTATTTTTATACTTAGTTTTTCACATGTCTAAGCTTGTGTAACCATTGGTGCAATTAAGATACCCAGCTATTCTATCACCACAAGGATCTCCCTTGTGCTACTCCTTTGTAGTCATACCTATCCCCCACCCCCCACCACAACATCCTTAATCCCTGGAAACCACTAATCTATTTTCCATTTCTATAACTTTCTCATTTGAGATTGTCAAATAAATGGTATAGACTACTTGTGTTTACATTTTAACAATTCCACTAAAGTACAGTATTTCAAGAACTTCTTTAAGCCATACTTACAGATTTGCTAGTGACACATTTTCTTAGTTTTTCTCCACCTGAAATTACGTTTATTTCTCCTTAATTTCTGAAGTTTTGTGTTTTTGTTTTGCCTGGAGACAGTATTTTATTTTTTTCTTCCCCATCATTTGAAAAATGTGCCACCCCTTGACCCCTGGTCTCTGTACTTTGATAAGTAAAATCTGTTGTCATAAAAATTGTTTCTCCCTTGACTTTGCTTTCAAGGTCGCTTCTTTCTCTTGTTTTCAGAAGTTTGATTGCAATGTATCTTCATGTGCATTGCTTTAGTTTTGTCTTGCTTGAAATTCATTCAGTTTGTTGAATCTAGATTTATGTTATTTGCTGAAGTTAGAAAATTTTAGTCCTTCCTTTTCTAAAAGTTTTATTATTTTTCAGGTTCATTCTCTTTCTTTTCTCCTTTTGATCAAATAGGGTAACAAGAAGGCTAGATTTTTTGTGTTAATCCCACAGGTCTCTAAAGCCTTGATTGGTTGATTTCTATGGTTCTGCCTTCAGGATCATTGATTCTTCTGTCCTCCTTCATCTGTTATTGATTACATCCCTGAGCTCCTTTTCAAATTTCTCTTTTTGTATCTTTCATTACTAAAATTTCCAATTCATTTTTTCTTTGTATCTTCCTTTCCCTTGCTGAGATTTTCTATTTTAAATCATTTTATTGTTATTTCAAGTATGTTCTTAGTTGCTCATCAAGGCATTTTTATGATGGATGTTTTAAAATTCTCATCAAATTATTCCAACATCTGTGTCACCTCAGCACTGGCATCTGTTGATTTTCGTCTCTCATCATTTGAGATTTTCCAGTTTCTGGGTATGTTGAGTGACTTTAAATTGTGTCCTGGATATTTTAGTCACTCTATTAAGAGACATTTATTTAAACTTTCTGTTTTAGCTAATGTGCTAGCTTGCCAGGTCTACCATAATGAAATAACACAGACTGGGTGATGTGTTATTTTATTTCTTAACAGTCCTGGAAGCTAGAGTTCCAAGATCAAAGTGCTGACCGGTTGTTTTCCACTGAAGCTTCTCTTCTTCTCTTGCACGCATCTGGCCATTTGTTGACTCTTCTCATGGTGTGCACATAGACACTCTGCGTGTCTGTGTGCTCTCATCTCTTCTTTACAAGGACATCAGTCACATTGGATTAGGATGCATCCTAACAGCCTCCTTTGAACTTAATTACTTTTTAAAAGGCCCTATTTGCAATTATAATCACATTCTGAAGTAAGAGGGTTAGGGCTTCAGTTAGGCTATTAAGAAATTACGGACAGGAGATTCAATTGTGTTCATAACACCTGACTTCCCCTGACATTGAGTTTCAGAGGGAGTGAGGTGGCACTTTGTTACTACTGGGTAGGGAGGTCCATGTTCCCCACTCATCCTCCACTGACACCTAGAGTGTAGAGCCACCTTGTTACCCTGGAAGACCAGAAGTACAACTGTAGGCTTTCTACTAGGGCTGCTGACATCAGCCTGTGTGAGAGAGGGGGGCATTTACCTACTGGTCCACTGACTTATGTGGGAAGCTTCTCACTACCAGAAGGTGGACAGAAAAGTCCTATCCCTTACTCAGTCTTCTCTGACATCACCACAGAAGAAATCCCACCCTCCCAGGGAAACCTCACTATGGCCCAGTAAGTGTAGAAGCCGAGGGTTCCCAGCTGATCTTTGCTGATGGGATGGAAGTCAAATTATAATTATAATTATTATTATTATTATTTGTCAAATTCTATTGAATAAGCAGTTATCTTCTCCCTTGTTGCCCCTTTCTTGGTTGAAGGTAAAGATAAAATGCATTTCTTAGGCATTTTTGATCTGTTCCTATTGGCATTTTTGAGTTGCTAGTCTCTACATCTCTACATTAGGCAAGCAGAAAGCCCAGGGAACTCATCATTATCATACCTCGGGCCCCAAGGACCCTACCTAGCCGGTCTGCCTTCTTATCTCCACATTTCAGAGTTCTCATTTGTTTTACATAGCATGGCCAGCTCTTCTAGTACTTTTACAGTTCTATTTTTAAAATGTTTTATCTACTTGGAATCTCTTCCAGCTTCTGGAGTTGCTGAACCACTGTTTTGACAAATGTCAAACCAACATATCAAGAGCCATACAATATCTTTTCAATTGTTGGTTACAATTGCACTCAGTTTTGTAGATTTGCTCAAAGAGTGATGTTATCTATATAAATGAGGAAATTGACTCTACAATGATGAGCTGAATTTCTACCACCCTTAATGTTCATTAAAAGTTTCACCCAAATAACTTCCTCAGCTTCAAAAATATAATTTTATGCTTATGTGTTATATGTCCAGTGTTTTATGTGCAGTATCTCTCTTAGTTCCTTCAATAATGCTGTGCAATAACATTTTTATTTTCTAACAAGAAAATTAATTAAGGACTAAGACCTCTCATTAATTACCTTTCTGGTTACATACTAATTAGTAACAGTGTTGGAATCACAACTTAAGTATTATGACTTCCACTCAATTTTTCATTCTTTAAGTGTTCTAGATCCAGGAAATCTTTCTCTCAGGATTATAGATTGTTTAAAATATGGTGAAATTAGATAAACAAAGCATTTCTGTTGTATATCTATCATTAGATACATGAAAGTGCTTTAAAGAGATTATTTTTAACATTCTTCTTTGTAATATATTTGTTGCAGAGAGTTTTTTTTAAATTTATTTATAGCTTGTCAGCTCTCTTCCCATGGAAGGAAAGAGAAAGCAAGCACGGATAACTCAAATCATAGAAATGTAAACAAAGAAGCATTTAAAATAACATCCTGGTTATCATTAAAATTTTCTCTTTTTTCCCCAAATATTAAGAGTTCCTGAAATGATTTGGATTTCAAAGGAGACATAAAATGTTGTCCCTGATTTTTTTCTAGATGAACTCCCCACTCACCTCTCCATCTAGAATTACCATTCTGAAATATATGTGTTGAACTTAATGGAGGGATTAAGTTAGAAAAGAAGAATGAAAGTATTTATGAAATAATGCAAGTCATCATTTCCATATGTGTTGGAACAGGAGCAATTTGGAAGTGAAACTACAGGAGCTGAAGGTCCCACAACTCATGAAATTTTGGAAAAAAAATTTCAAAGTCCATTTAACAAAGAGATAACAAAGTAGCCAGAGTGTGAAGAGTAACTAAAGGTAGAAGAGAGTGTCCTATGAGTTATGAGATGTGCAACTTAGTCTAGGAAACAGGATAGGATGCAGAAGGGCCCTCAGCATGGAATTCATCCATGACTGGACAAGAAAAGGGATCTTCCATTTACCTAAGTGATTCTGACAGATGCCATAGTCACGTAGTATCACATAGTATTGTGCTATGTTCTTGGAATCACCAACTCAGCCTGTCAGCACACTAAGGACTAAGACCTCTCATTAAGAGACAAAAATTATCTTCTGCGAGTGTATCAGTCATCTACTGCTGTGTAACAACTTACTTCAAAACCTATTGGCTTAAATCAATGACTTTTATCATCTCATAGGAGCTGCAATCAAGGTGTCAGCCCCAGGGCTGCAGCCAATCGCAAGGCTCAGCTGAGGAAAGATCTGCTTCTTGAGATACGCACTTCAGCAGCATTTAGTTCCTCAGAGACCATTGCCCTGAGAGGCTCAGTTATGAAGTTGCCTTTGTTCCTTGCCATGTGGATTTTCCTCCAAGCAACTCACAACATGGCAGCCTGCTTCCCCAGAGCCAGCTAGAGATAAGAGAAGGCAATTAAAAGAGTAGGTAGGAGTCATTTATAACCTCAAGATTCTTTGATAACCTAGTTTATTGTAATGTAACAATCCTTATAGATGACATTCACTATTTCTGCTGCAGTTTGCATTTTGGAAGTAGGTCACTAAGGTCTAGCTTAAGGGAAAAGGAATGCACAAGGGCAAAGATGATTGACAGTCATGCTGGAACTGCCTACCACAGCCACCAGAATATTGGTTAATAGTCCTGGAATAGAGACCCAC